CGGGGCGGGTAGCGGGGCGTGGCAGCCGGGGCAGCGCAGCTGCGGGCTCTACGGGGTGCAGCGACCATGCTTCTGCGGGCGGCGCGACGCGGCCGCGGGCGACAACGGCGCGACTGCGGGTGGCGGGGCGCGGCTGCTTGTGATGCGTGAGCTGTGGGCCCGAGGTGTTTGTTTGGGATGCGTCCGGCGTTGGGTGCCCGGCCGGCGCAAACACAATTTCGAACGGGCACGACCTCATTACCACCCAAAACAGACGAAATTCGGACAAAACATACGTCCTTTCAACCATTGATATATGACCAAACCAGATTTGTTAACACCTGCCGTAAAAAAAACAAAGAAATCCGACAACCGAAGCAAACACTCGACTCCCTCGCTATACACTACTCTCTCCCTCATAGAACACTGAACACGACCGCCCCCTCTTCTACTTCATCCCCACCGGCGGCGAGACGAACACCCACCCCTGCCTGGTCCATGGCGGCCGCCCTTCCCCAGCCGCTGATCTATGCCCCCCCACCTCCTCCTGCCGCTGCGCCGGTCCATGGCGGCCGCCCTTACTTTACCTCTCTTCACGCAGCCCGGATCTGCCGCTTACGGCTTCCACCTCGCTTCCCTTTTCCCCATTGCTCTCCAGCCCCGCACAAACCCCTTTGCCGCCATCAGCCTAGTCCCCAGCCACGGCTCCGCTCCGGCTGCCATGTATGAGCTTTGCCTCCAACGGATCGTCGGCACCGACCACCGGGCAGCCTTGGAGGGATCCGGCAGAGGCTCCCCACCTCGGCTGCGGCTGGAGGAGGCCATCGATGCCTCATACTTCGCGCCGTCCCAGCAACAATGAGCGCCGCCACGTCCGTCCATGGGTACCCCCTGCTCAGCGTAGTTCGTAGACGGTGAGGAATCCGAGATCCCCGTTAGGATAAGTATATGTGACTGCTTTTTGTCTAAATCTTGCATGAACTGAACATATTTGTGTGCATACTGAACTTTGAGTGAAATAATTGCTTGAGAGAATTAGCTATCATCAAATTGTCTACTTTGTTAAATTTCATGTGTTTGTTCAAAGTCTGCTAAAACAACTTGGAGACATGCTTTGCTATTGTAGGTTGACATGATGGATGAGTAGTCTGCTGATGACGAAGACCCTTAACTATGATGTCATGTACTCTCATTTGGTACTACACTATTCTTAATTGCGGACACTTCCTTTGTAATACGATTAATGGGGACATACAAAAACAGAGGTAGGAAGGTGTACCCATATGTCTGCAGTCTGCTCTAAATACACTCTTCCCTTGGCCATGTTGTGATGGTTAGGTCCTTCCACTTATCAGATATTAGTTCCATGTGAAGCGATGCAAATTGGAATACATTTTCCAGTACTTTCAGCTGTTGCATGAATAAATGACAAAGCAACAAAGCATCCGCCTCACAAGCAAAAAACAACATAAATCGTCTTATCAAAAGATGAGGCAGTGGGGCTAATAACTAACCATAGCAGTGAGGTCTTCGCGATTAATTCTCGTGCCCGATGAGTGTTGCTATTTACCTGATGACTGTTTTTATAGTTAAAAACGGCATGAACAATTGCAACTTACTGTTAGTTATCTCCGAGCTGCACTGAGCATTCTTGCATCGTTCGGCTTGTAATACTGTATAATTTCCTAAACACCATCAAGTTTCGAGAAAGCTCACAGTTAGATGCATTGGATAATGTGACCGGTGCAACATATGCGCGAAAGGGCTCTTAAGGCCCTTTTCTTCTTCTATTTAGATAACAGAGGTCCTGGTCTTCTATGATTTACACTTATTTCAGTCATAAACCTGTTGTTGCCTTTTTAGTGTGCTGAAAATCATGACTTCATTGTTCGGATCATTTGAACGCTGCCTTGTTTCAGTTACCACCATATTTTCCTGAGAGACGTTATTCTGTCCTTTTCAGATGTTCTACAAGCAGTCTTGCCCGGGAAGAAAATGCACATCATGGGGAACTTGAGAGTGGAGAAGAAAAACTCAGTCCAGGTATTTCACTTCCTTGACCAAAACCCTCCAAGAACTATCAAAAAGAGAATGACTATGTCCAATAGATCATTTACATGCTAAGTTTGACTATGTCCTGAATAGGTTCATTTACATGCCAAGTCGACACAGATTCATCCATAGAGCCTGAATGTTAAAACAAATTTGAATAGTATATTGTTAAAACAAATGAGTTGGTTTCATATTCTTTGGACTGGGTTACAAATAGATCATACAGGGTTTTATTCATTCAGTCATACAGATTCGAATACTATACTGTTAAAACAATATGATGGAGGGCTCCAGTTTGATGCACCGTTAAAATTCATGCTGAAGTCACAGGAGGTAGATCTATTATGGTTTGCCCAAAAATTATGCATTGGTCAGCACATTGTTGTAAATATGCAAAACAGTGAAGAACATTGTTATAAAGATGCAAATTTGATAGGGATTAGGGAAGCAATGAAGTACACACATATTTGTTAAATAGAATTTCCCTTGTGCAGGCAGGTGCGTTGGCTGAGGACTTGGTTGGCGCCGACGTCGTCGGCTGCGGAAGGCGGTGATGGCCAACACTCGCTGGAGGGCGATGGCGCAACAGTGGCTTGGCGGCGCCGACGTCTCACTGCAATGTGCCTTTGAACGGCGACATCGAAGAAAGACATCGAGATTAACTGGGATGGAACTAGCCACATACTGCGCACAAGAGGATAGTCTGCACCTGCGTTGGCTTGGCTAGAAGCTTGTCGGCGCGGGTGTCGTCCGCTGCGCATGGCGGCGATGGCGCAGGACAGGCTGGGCGGCTGCGACGTTCGTCCAGGCGGGCAAAGGCAGGAAGATCGAGTTGATTCCCGTAAGTTTAGCCGTTTGTTGTGAGGCGGACGTATCAATTGCCGTAATTGTGGCTATTTTTCCGTAGTTGATTGGCTTGATTTTTTTATTTTTTTTGCGGGGAGGTGGAACTATTCGATCGATGGCAGAGTTTCGTACGCTATTCTAAATTGCTAAACGCATATAGGTGGGGCCTGACTTTTATGTGGACGGTTAGATACCTAATCTTGTGGTGGTAATTTGTCATGTACTACGTTTATTTGGTAAGTAGATATAGGGTTTCCCGTCCTCTCCCGCCCCTCTTCCCAACGCCGCCATCTTCTCCCGCCCATCTTCTCCTACGCCGCCGCCGGGCCGTCCAAGCCACCATGTTGGAGCTGCGGATGGCGAAGGGAAGCCTCTTCGAGAAGGTCCTGGAGGCGATCCTCGACCTGGTCAATGTGGCCAACGTCGACTGCTCCAGCAACGGCTTGTCGCTCGAGGCCCTGCACACTGAAGACGTCGCCATCCTCTCGATCTTCTTCCCCTCCAAGGTCTTCCAGTCCTAGCGCTGCGACGAAGACCGCTCCATGGGCATCGCAATCGCCGACATGGTCAATTTCCTCCGCGCCTCCAACAATGGTGACATCATCACCATCAAGGTCGACGACCAAAACTTTGAGGACATTACCATAACATTCGAGTCGCCCGGTAAGTGCCCGCACGTCTTTTGCGATAGCTGCTCTTCGCCCTGACCCTGTGCTGATTTTGTGTTTGTGGAAATGAACAGACAAGACTAAAACTACGGCTATGGCTTTGTTTCTTGTGGACAGCAGAAGCCAACGCCTCAAAATCCCGGATTGGCACGATATGGAGCTGAAGTACCAGGCCATTTTCTGCATGCCCTCTGCGGAGTTTATGTGGAACTGCAAGTCCCTCAGCGTCATCGACGACGATGGTACATAGATTTACCTGGTGATTTATAAGGCTAACTGTTACTGTTGCGCATGGAGGATTCTAGTTATGTACCTTGAACCATTTCCATCTCCTGCTGCAGTTGTCATCTCGGTGGATAACGAGGTCATCAGCTTCTTTACTTCAGGAAAAAGTGGGTGCATGAACATTGCCCATGTGCCGAACAAAACTGACAAGGTACTTAATAGTTTGACCCTCTTAGCCCCTCAAATTGGAATGGATATCATCATCCTCTGAATATCTGTATGTGACTGTAACATGAAATGCAGTGAACAACCATATCAGTGATGTGCTGTAGATTCTTAGCAGGTGTCCATTCTTGGTTCCTCACCTAGGTTATAGGCACCAGAGTAGCCGAACATGCATACATAGTGCCTTAGAATTTCGTTGTCTCACTATACTGTGTTGAGTTGCTAATTCACTTTGTTTGTACTATACTGTGTTGAGTTGCTAATTCATTTTGTTTGTTAATGTTGGTTTCTGTGTTTGGAGTATGTTTAGTCTGCATAACTTGCAAGTTAATTTGTCTAGAGCAGAAGCTACATATATTTCATAAAGCGGAACATGGCTCTTCATTTGGTTGATTACATTGGTATTGGTAAATGGGGTTGAATTAGATGTTTGTTTTTTAGTTAGCTTATTTCCTCCTTTAACTGTAAAATCTTGGTGACGTGGTTAACTACTCTGCAGTGCAAATTAACATCTGTTTATTCTATAAATTTCAATTGGTTCCATCATATGGAGTAACATCTTTAGTATCTTGTGCCATTCAACTACTATTTTAAGAAACTACTGAAGAATAGATCCGTCTATGCGTATCTGCACTAGTTAATGGGTCATGTTTGTATCAATGCAGCCAGAAAAAGCTAGTGTTACCCTTACACATATGCGAGGGCCAGTTGAATTGACCTTGAACCTGAGGTACATGAACTCCTGCGCCAAGGTGTTTACCCTGTTTGATCAAGTGAAGATCGGTCTCTCCACCACGCAACCTGTGATGGTCGAGTGCAAAATTGAAGAGAAGGGCTACATCAGATATTTCCTGGCACCAAAGATCCAAATAGAGATTGAAGAGGAAAAGGAAGGGAAAACAGAGATCGAAGAGGCAGAGGGAGAGGAAGGGAAAACAGAGATCCAAGAGGAAGGGAGCCCAAGGAATAAAGCAAAAAGAAAGAATGCCGAGAGGAACAAGAGTTCGGATAGGAAGGAAGATGAAAATAAAGAGAGATCGAAGAAGAAGAAGGGATCAAGAAAGATAAAAAATGATGAAAAGGAAGATGAGATGCTGGGCTGATGATTAAGCAGGGATCCGTTGCCTACTATTGTGTGCAAGCAAAATCGAGTTCTTGTGTTCAATTAGCATTGAAGTATGTGTAGTAAGAGTCTGCTCGTGACAACAGCACCAGCAAAGAAGTTTTTTTTGAAATGGAAATTAACTTCCATTAGAACCTCTGTCCAGACAATTCGCTGGACACCATCAAAGCTACAGATTCAGGAAGTTGGTCCTGCCAATACACAGGTCCATTTATACAATTTAGACCCAAAGCAGCTACTGTATGAGCAACTGAATTACAAGCCCGAGGGCAGTGAGAAACAGAACACTCAACAAAATCAAATAGCATTCTCACTCTGATTTCTCTAAACATAGTGCTGAGGGGGGATCTATCAAAGCCTGGAGCACCAATTGCATTAGCCACTAACAATGCATCAGTCTCCTAAATGATACGTTGAATGCCCATAGCTGCAGCATACTCAATGCCCTTCAAACAAGCCACAGTTTCAGAGTGTTGTGCATTTATCAAATGCTCTTCCAGACCTGCACCTGCGGCCACAGCTTGCCCATCAGAATCACGTATAACAAAGCCCCAACCACCTCTATTAAGATCAGAGAAGAATGCCCCGTCACAATTTATTTTATAAAAATCCTCCAGAGGAGCTCTCCATTTTGATTTGCTGTCCTTCTGAACTTTAGAAGTGTTACCTTGGACAGCAGAGTTCCAGGCCTGCATGTGGAACATGACGTCATTAACCACTTCCTGGGCACTCTTTTTTCTCTCCCCTGCATTCATCTTATTTATCATAGACCACCAGCACCACATTAGTAAGATTACTTTCTGCTGCACATCACCTTGGAGGCTCCACAATTTCTCTAGCATGTCTTTAACAGATGCTTGTGATACCAGACATGCTCTCACCTCCTCCATATTCAGGAGCAGCCAACATAACTGCATATCCTTGCACTTGAATAATAGGTGGTCGATGTCTTCGTCAAATCTGTGACAAACAGGGCAAAGAGTATCGAGATTAACCCCTCTTTTAGCAATATTCATTTTAACTTGCAAGGAATTGTGGGCCAGCTGCCATACAAACACTTTCACCTTATTTGCAACATTCAAGTTCCAAAATTTCTTCCAGTTGAAGCTACTGGCAGCATCAGAAGAGGGTGATGCATCGGCCCCATTTACTTGATCCCTGATTTTGATGCCTAAAGAATTGGCCGATTTCACCGAAAAAAGCCCCTTGGGATCAGGATTACAGGCTGGAAAATCCCCCGTATCTTCTAATAGTGGAATCGATAAAATAAATTTAGCGTCTTCCTCCCAAAATGTTTCTGTAATTAGCTGCTCATCCCACGATCCAGTGTTAGGATTAATGAGATCAGCAACCTTCTGAAGGATGGATCCCCTTCGAGGTGTAACGACCCTTCTTGTGAAATTCCTTGGTATCCACGGATCTTTCCAAATATCCACTGTATCACCATTTCCAATCCTCCAGATTAGACCTTCCTTCAGCAACTGCACCCCTTTAAGAATGCTCCTCCATGTATATGAAATGCCTTTTTTAGCAGTTGCCTTAAGGATAGATTTATCTGAAAAGTACTTGCCCTTCAGTACTTGTGCACATAAGGTATCTGGAAACACAATGATTCTTCAAGCCTGCCTAGCCAACATAGCAATGTTAAATGCGTACATATCCCGAAATCTCATGTCACCCTTGCTTTTCGATCTGGTCAATTTCTCCCAGGAGACCCAATGGATTTTATTCATCTTATCTTGCTGACTCCACCAATACCTCCCGATGATTGAAGAAATCTCCTCACATAGCTCTTTTGTCAGGTCGAAGCAGGACATAGCATATGTAGGAATGGCTTGAGCAACTGCTTTTATCATGATTTCTTTACCAGCCTTGGAAAGCAGCTTCTCTTGCCAGCCTTGAATTCGTGTCCACACTTTTTGTTTAATGTATTCAAACATACGTTTCTTCGATTTCCCAACATAAACTGGCAGGCCCAAATATTTTTCATTACTAGCGAGCTTCGTAATATTTAGTTCTGTTAGTACTTGCTTCTTAATCTCCTCAGTTGTATTGGGGCTGAACATAACTGTCGTCTTATCCTTATTTATCATCTGACCCGAGACTTCCTCATAAAGCTGTAGAATCCTTTGTAAGCTTTGGGCACCTGATTTTGTAGCTTTTAGCAAGACCAATGTATCATCGGCAAAGAAAAGGTGGCTCACACAAATATCCCCAGGGCATACTCGGATGCCTTGTATCTCCCTTCTTTCTTCAGCTTGCTTGAGAAGAGCTCACAGACCCTCAACACATAAAATAAAGGACCATTTGCATTTCTGTCCCTAATTCGAACCACCTACTCAGATATGCCCCTAACTTCGAAGCCTGCTCAAATTTGCCCCTCCGCCGTTAAGTGACCTTACAAAAATGCCCTTCCGTTCCGTTTCCGTCCGGTCAAAGGGGTTTGACCGTCTATGAGACATTTGTTTGACATTTTTACCCCTGGAAAAAAATAAAACAGAAATTAAAGAGAAGAAAGAGAGTGCTTACCTTTTGGCCCAAGTTCAATGTGCACTTTGGCCCATGTGCATAGCGCCAGGCCCACCCATCTCCCCCAGTCATCGTCTTCCTCATCGACTGCACGCGCCGGCGCGCGCCACCGTCGCCGCTGTTCGACAGCTTTATGTCGTAGTAGCTCGGGTAGGGTTACTTAATGACGCCTGCAGGCCCCTGACAACCCTAGCTAACTTTCCCTCCCTTCCCCCGCTCGCTCTCCTCCCCTGCGGCCGGATCGACCGTCTTCCTCGTCTGCGGATCGCCGGAGCGCCATCGTCGATTCGCCAGCCCTATGCCGCTAAACCACAAATTAATGTCTCAGTCATGTTCGTGGTGCCCCTAAGATGTCGCCCAGCCCCCTAAACCAGTGGATCCATGGCCGCCTTCTCGAGTCCGTCGAGCACCGCCGTCGGCCGCCGCCTAGCTCGTCGCTGCGGTCGATTCCGACCACCCTTGCATGCTCTGTTGGTACCACTGGACGTGCCTCAGCGCACTCGTCCGAACTGTACTCTCCGCCAACAAGTTTGTCGCCGGAGTTGTGACTTCGTCCATCGTCGCCGGAGTTGTGACTTCGTCCATCATCGTCACTGGAGCTCGCCGCCAGTCGAGGGCGCAGTCTAGGGAGAGGGAGGGAGAGGAAGGGAGGAAGGGAGGAAGGAGAGGGAGGTTAGAATGGAGGGAGGGCTGCGGCGTGTGGGGAGCTGGTGCCGACGTCGCACATCCAGGGCCGTCGGCGCTCGCCGGAGGTGAGACAGAGAGAGGGTGAGAGAGGTGGGAGGGATTTTTTTATTTCTCTATTTTGTTTGGGGGCCCACAAGTAAGTGTGTCAGAGAGAGGGTGAGAGAGAGAGTTTTTCCTTTTTATTTATGTTTTGACTGGGTCCCACCTGTAAGTGGCACATGGAGGCCGGGGCAAAATGTCCAATAAACGCCCAGTAGACGGTCAAACCCCTTTGACCAGACGGAAACGGGACGGAAGGGCATTTCTGTAAGGGCACCTAACGGCGGAGGGGCATTTTTTAGCAGGCTTTCGAATTAGGGGCAAATGTGAGTAGTGGGTTCAAGTTAGGGACACAGATGTAAAAGACCCTAAAATAAATAGGTATGGTGATAGGGGATCACCTTGACGCAAACCCCGTTGAGGCCTAAATTGTTTCGAATACTCTCCATTTATCTTCACTCTATAGCTGACTGTAGAAACACATTTCATGATTAAATCAACCCATGCTGCAGCGAATCCCAATTTTCGCATAATTTTCTCAAGAAAAGGCCATTCTACTCTGTCATATGCTTTACTCATGTCTAATTTTATAGCAGCCAGCCCCATATTACCTTTCCTTTTGTTTCTAAGGTAGTGCGAGCCAGCAGGACATTATCAGTTATCAGCCTACCCTGAACAAAAACATGGTAAGGGCAATAGATAAGGGCAATAGATGTGAACTTATAGTCTACTGAGGTGCCAGCGTCTTTCAATATGCTCTAGTACAGATCCTACAAGAATAATGGCGAGTCTTTCAATATGCTCCAGTACAGATCCTGCAAGAATAATGGCGAGAGATTAGAGAGAACCTTCTTTAAAAAAAGATTAGAGAGAACCATTTGCAAGTATACTTCGTCCATCCCACAAGTAGATTCATTTTGAACATCGACATGGTCTTCGAGATGCAACTTTGACTACTTTGTTTTGTTGTAGACTATTTTTAAAACATAGTTAAAATATACTTTTGTGAAACAATGTTTCGAGATAAATCTATTCATACTATTCACATCTCACAACGCAACACATTAAAATTTATTTATAGTCAAAGTTTGAAATAGTCGACTTTATAGGATAAGCCCAAAACTAACTTATTTGTAGCATGGAGGTAGTAGTATTTGCCTACTGAGCAAACAGTCACTCCAACCATTTCAATGAGATTTGTTGAACAAATGGTTGGTCCTTGGACTTCACCTTTGGATAGTTTTCATCGAGCAGATCAAGGTTCATATGTAGAACATCTGATTCAGACTTCGGATGAGAGAGATATGGTTACGAGAAGATCTACACGTCGGGTACACCGGTAAGATCAGTGGGTCCAGGCGGTTAGACCGGTTTAGGTCTGTAGAATCCGTGTAGAAGTTGTATTTTAATATGGAATTTGTTAGGGTTTCGACCCAAGTCAGAGCAAGACCTCTCCACTTTATAAATATAAAGGACCACAGCCGATTGAGGGTTTCACGATCGAATCTATCAAATCTACCTTTTATTGTTTCACCTTTACCCTTCTCTTACAACCTCATGTGTTGTTCTTATACTGCCTCCATAGCATGAGAGGACGTCCTGTCGGGGTTCTATACCGTCAGCAAGTAAATTTAGTACGATCGCGTGTCGGATCCGGACGGCTGGCACAAGAGACACAAGGATTTATACTGGTTTGGGCGCCACGGGGCTCCCTACGTCCAGTTC